ACAAAAAATCCATAAAATTTCAGAACTTATAACCAATACATATCAAATCTGGAAATTATCACTGTATCCCTAAAATTTTGAATTTTACAACAAATAATCCAAAGTTTTAATAATTGTAAAAATATACCCTAAAATTTTCAAGTTGTAAAAAATATCCTAATATTAAAAAACTTACCATCCAACATTGGGAAAAAAATCACAATCATCCAACTTAAAATAAAAAAACACTCTCAAAATTTTAAAATTTGCAAAAAAACACCCTAAAAATTCAAAATCACAAAAGAAGACTAAATTTTCAAAACTTAGCAAAGAAAAGAATAGTTGTTTGATATTCTTTCCTTAAGATATATAATTTGACTTCTAATTTAAGGTTTATTATTCCTTTATAGTATCTAAAAAGTTTATCAAAAAATATAAAGGTGGAGAATGATTGATATCGGCTCAATAAAAAAATAGAAGGAATAAAAGACGCTGTTTTTTGAATATTTTATAGAATAATTTATTTTTTGAGTAAATTAGGAATCTTTAGAAGATATTTTCATAAACTTTTTTAGTATTTTTATATGCTTATGTAAATACTTTTGCCATATAAAAATGTGCTAAAGTTAGCATTAATATTTAGTTTATAATTTTTGTGAAGTCTATAAAGGATCACGAACAAACTCCACATTCTCTTTTGTATTGTTTTAGCCAACTTTTAACTAATCATCTTGTCTTATTAACTTTATTTATTCATCTTCCTTTTATAACACTAAATTTTAAAGTGTTTTCCACTTTTACACCATTATACTTTTTCAAGTCAAGTTTTATTTCATGTTGGTCCAAATAACATGATATTTCAAATTGGCTTTGGATTATATTTATTTCCTATCAATTCAATTATCAACATGAAAAGTTAAATTAAGTGTAGCTCATTTAAACAAATATTAAAAAAAAAAATCATAATGCTAAAGTTTAGAGACATAACTGAGCCAAAACCATCAAAATAGAACCTAGAAATAAATTTTAGTAAAAAAATAAATCAAATATACTAAGAGGGTGTTTAAGAAGGCTTATTTTTTTTAAAGCTTACAAGTTATGCTGACTTAATAGGTTTTGGCTTTTCTTGATAAAAATGCTATAAAAATTGTTTGAGTAGAAGAGTAATTTGCTTGGACAAACCTAACTTTTTTAAGTGAGCTTATAACCTAATATTTTAAAGTTGTGATATACCAGTTTTTTTAAAATAGGACTTATAAGCTAACTTATTTGATATTTTACTAAACAAGTAGAAATAAAAAAGCTAGTTTAAAAACTAGTTTGACTAGAAAATAAGCCCCCAAACACCCTCTAAATCAAGATATTTGATCACGTGCATTGTATGTGCGGAACCTAGTCATACTCCCTTTAAAAGCATGAGTTTGGAAACAGCTTTCCATGGTTAAAATTACTCTTCACTATTATGAATATTTTATTTAAATCTTAATTTCCTAATCATATTTATACCTTATACTAATCCAAAGTGTACTACATATGGCTAAATAATTAAAAAATATATAAGATTAATAAAATATATAAAATACTATTTTAAATATCTTATTTAAATTTTAATCTATCCTAATACTAATTATATCCTCTACTAATCCTACATAAACTACTTATAGCTCAAAATTTTGAAAAAAAACAAGATTAAGAGATCACTCGTAGCTAACATATTATAATACATAAAGTATTACCAAAAACCCAAAAAATTTAAAAACTGCACAAAATACCCTCAAAAGTTCAACACAAAGCACCCTCACTTTTTAAAATTGCAAAATATATCTCAAAAATTAAAATCACAAAAAAACCAGAAATTTCAAAATTTATAACCAGTACATATTAAATTTAGACATTATCACCAGATCGCTAAAAATTTTAATTTTGTAAAAAAACCCTAAAGTTTTAATAATTGTAAAAAAACCCTCAAAGTTTCAAAGTTGTAAGAAATATTCTAATATTTGAAAACTTACTACCAACACATGAAAATGAAAATGAAAATTTCAAAATTTCCCACATTGAAATTTACAAATTTTAAAAAATTCCAAAACACACTCTTAAAAGTTTAAAATTACAAAAAGGCTGTAATTTTTAAACTTGGGAAAGAAAAGAGTAATTATTTTATATTCTTTTATTAAGATATATACATTTAATTTCTAATTTATAGTTTACTGCCCTTTTTCAGCACCTAAAAATAGTCTAATTTGATGTTGGTAAAAACATAGCTATAATAATATATTAAAAACATCCAGTTAAGGAATAATTTTTTTAAAAAATATATGATAGATTGAAAATTAGCATCACTAAATAAATTAAAGAAACTACACATAATTTTACTAATAACATTAATTGGTAGAAGACTAAATTACATAAAAACCAATAAAGGACTACAATATAATAGCTTAGCATTAATTGATTATAATATATAAACATTGGTCTTTAAAATTACTAATATTTATAGGGTCAAAAAATGTAAGGAGTTGTGTAAAGAGAAGCTATTAGAAAGTTCAGTGATATCCTTTAAAAGAATCAAACTGTTTTCATTTCAAATGGAGAAGTAAATGAAAAAAAAACGTTCATGAATCACTTAAATTGACATTGACAAAAGATATATCTATCAAAGAAGCACTAACTAAATTTCCGTTAAAGAATATATTGAATAACTTTGTCCAAATCAAAGAAGCATTCTCCATGTAAGATACAAGAAAAATTAGTAAGTATTTATAAATTTTCATACTTTACTCTTCAAATACTAAAGGAACTATAAACTTAATATAAATTTACGTATGAATAATCTCGCAATAGAAACTAAAGTGAAGCCATTGATTAACTATGTTGAAAGATATAACAAGTCAAATAAGAGGAAAATCACTATAATGGACAAAAGGTATACACATGTACATATTTATAATAGTGTAAGCAAAAAAATTAAAATTGACGTTTTTCTTTTTTCTATACAGTGGCATGACTCTGCGTGTGACTTTATTTGGGGATGTGACTACCTACAAAGGATCAATTCTTCAATACACAATTAACGATAAACATATAATAACACTATCAGATTTCATGATCTTTATATATGAAGATAATATAATTCACTACTAAAATTCTTATTAAATACCACTAAATATAAAATTCATCTTATATCTATCTCAAATTTATAGGGGAGATATGCATGTCATCGTAAATTACATCAATAATATATACTAACAAAGATATAACTTATTGAAGGAATAAAAGAATGGTATATAAACCATGCAAACATCCATATAACACAATAAAAAAAATATTACATATTAAAACTAATATGCAGGGCTCATTCAGAACAAGCTGCCAAGATAAAAACATCTTCATCAAGGCTCTTTACAAAATGCAACATAAATTTAAATTAGTGACATATGCAACTATCATAATATTCGAAAGAGGTATGATCTTATAATACCTACTCTAAAATTCCCACAATTAAACTTAAAATTTGTTTACCAATATATAGACATACTATTGCACCTATAATGCAAAGAAAATAACCATTTACAATAGAGCTGAGCCGTGATTGTATGCTTGCGAAGGCTGCAACAAAAAGGTGGATAGAGATGTTAATAAACATGTCCAAATGATAAATATCACAAAATCACTGATGATGTAGTACCAAGATCAAGTAATATCTATTCTCCATGAAATAAATACATCAAAATCAAATATTAACATTATAATGTAAGACAAGTTGACAATGAAAAATGTAGTTATTTAGTTCAGATCCTCGTTGAAAATAACACGGATAGACCAAATGTAACATTATTTGATGCAGCAGAAAACTCTTGTTGGATGCACAACAGAAGAACTCGTTAGAGAAAAAAAAAAAGAAAACTCCTAACCTTATTTAAATAATAAATTATAAACACAAAATTTTCATATATATGAAATTAACAATTATTCTCGTTGAACCAAAAATATAATCAAAGTCTGTATTTCCAGAAGTTTGTGCTGAATATCAAAAATACATTCAACTTCTTTGTAAAGTAAGACTAAAAGACAAAAGATGAGCAAGCCCAGCGAAAGATAACATCACAAGATATCTAGCTCCAGCTTAATGACACAATCGATGTAGATGACGAAGACTCTAAAATTATTTAGGAAAAAGATAAAGGTGGAGAATGCTTGATCTCGACTCAATAAAAAGATAAAACATAAGGAATAAAAGACATCAATATTGTCTAAATATTTTATAAAATATTTTAATTTTTTGATTAAAATTAGGAATCATTAGAAGGGATTTTCATAAACTTTTTTTAGTTCTTTTATATGCTTATATGAATGTTTTTATCATATAAAAGTGTATTAGAGTTAACAATTATTAGGAACAAACTTCATTTCGATTTAGTTTCATTCTAGCCCACTTTTAATCAATCGTATTGACTTATTGGCTTTAATTATTTGTCTTCCTTTTATAATGCTATTTTTCAAGAGTTTTTCACTTTTGTAATATTATACTTTCTCATGTCAAGCTTAATTTCATATAGGTCCAATTAACATGAAAATTCAAATTGGCTTTGGATTATATTTATTTCCTGTCAATTCAGTTATCATCATGAAAATTTACATTGAGTGTAGGCTATTCAAACAAACAACAAAGAAAATAAATGATCGTAATGCTAAAGTTTAGAGATATAAATTAGCAAAAACTAATAAAGTAGAACCCAAGAACAAATTTTAGAAAGGAAGTAAATGAAAAATAATTAGTCATGATCTTTAACCACATGCATTGCACATGCATAAGACCTAGCATGTTTAAAAACCTGACTATTCTCTTGATAGTTTTTACATTACGATTACAAATTAGCTTTATTATAGTCGATGATTAATTGCTTTGAGGTTACTTTTTTTTCTCTAGAAATTGATGATTAGAGTGGTAGTTTGCAAACTGTGAGATTTGGAGAGGACTTCTACAAATAACCATGATTTAATGGATAAAAAAAGCTCTCCCGACTTTAACTACGACTGCACTCGTACTCAAACTCCCAATATCTCCCATTTCCATCTCAGAGATCTCATCTTCGTCAATGTCGACGAAATCTCAAATCTCGATCGCAGTAGTCCTCATCCTAATCTCAATCTCCATTTTCCTCACTTTCACCGACTCCCAATCCCACCGCCTCAACCTCCCCTCCTTCTCCCTCTCAAACCCTCGCTCCCTCTCCTCGTCCGCCGCCGCCGTCGAGATCCGGGCTCGGCCTCTCAAGGTCTTCATGTACGATCTCCCGCGCCGATTCAACTTCGAGATGCTCGATCACCGGCCGGATGGGGTCAAGAGGCAGCACAGTGTTGAGTACTGGATGACGGCGTCGCTGATGGTGAAGGGAGGGGAGGGGGAGGGTGCGGAGGCGGTTAGGGTTTTGGATGCGGAGCAGGCGCGGAGGTCTTCTTTGTTCCGTTCTTTTCGTCTTTGAGTTTCAATACGCATGGGAGGACGATGACTGATCCGGAGACTGAGGTCGATCGACAGCTGCAGGTTAGTGACATGGAGGTTTATTATTTATTTATTTTTTTTAAAGAAAATAAAAGTGATGCAGGATTGAGATCCAAGTTAGTATTTTGATGGTAGTGATATGGGAAAGTTCCTTAGAATATAGTGGATATTTTTGGAATTAAGTATAATCTAGATTAGGAGAGGTTCTTAGTTCTAATATTCTCATGGTAGTCAATTTGAAGATGAAAATAGCGTATGTGAATGTCAGGGTCCATTTAGTCCCACATTAACCGGACGGGGATTCAATTGTGGGTTTACAAGGGATTTGGTTTTCCTCGGTCTAACAAGTAGCTCGATGAATGCAAATTTCTCATCAAAATCTCCTTACTTATAAAGTATATGCGATATTAAAAGATTAATTTTTTTATAAGAAACCTCCTAATATATGTATAGAATGTGTAAGAGATATCCTAAACCGTCGTTTGGATTGTGAATTTTCAGCTTAAAGTAGAATGCTCATACGGAAAATTGAAAACTGTTTGTGCCGTCAAATTCATTAACAAACAGGTCACTTATCTGAATTTTCCAGGGGGAAAAAATAGATTGGGTTGGGCAACAAGTCAAGTGCAATAGTTATGGTAAGTCTTATTGTTTCAAATACAAATTAAAACATCAGAATCCGAAACAAAGGCACCCAAAAGGAAGTTAAAAAGAAAATGTTGAGTTTACGCCTTGAATATTTTCTCTCGCATTTAATAGTTAGTCTTGTTTTCTTATTATAACTGTTGCACTTTTAATTTTTTTTCAAAGTAGCTCCTAGTGAAATGTGTGCATCTGAACTTTTAAATTATGTTCTCTCTTTCTCCAATAGTTACTTTCAGGAAAGTCTACTGTGATAATACTGTAGAAGGGCATTTCCATTGTGAAATCATGTCAGATCAGATGTGTAATGGACACATCTAGGATGCATCTGTCATTGGTATCTTAAATTTTGCTTAGCATTGCTATGTTATGTCCATGTTGGCGTCTCTGCGAACATGCATGTGATCTGAAGTTAGGAAATTCAGCATTTAAATTAGAAAATTGTCTTTAAGGTAATTATGCATTTAAGCCAGTTACATTTGACTGTAAACTAAAAATCTGATTCATAGGCAACCATCAAGGTTTTAATTTGGTAGCTGGAATGACCGATATAAAGAAAAAAAATCACATAATGATTTAACTAGAAGTAAAATAGTTTGTCACTAAAAGAAAGAAGGAAACGATTTTCCAATGTATTGGTTATTATAACAGTTAACATGTATTAAAGTCTGTATTATCAACCACTAGGCTTCTTTGCTTTAGTTTTTGAATTATCTGGAAAAGATAGTCAGTTTATGTTATAGTTTTGTTTTCCAAATAACTGATGATGTCCTGTCAATTTACATGTAAATCAGAGTAGTCTTATTTAAGTTTATAGATAAAGGAAAAGACCCTCAAAAGCTTTTCTTTTACTTTAGAATTTATCTACTGTAAAGCAAAAGAGAATGCTGCCATTCGTGAGAAAAGTAATACACTTGTTGGCTTTTTCTTTGTCTAACAAGTGCTAATTCTTCAAGCAATGTATTTCAAAACTATATGTGATTTTAGGTTATTGAGGAAGATGCATAACTTTTTGCTGAAAGGTGATGTGGTCTTCTGGAGATGTTATCTAAATGTTGTGTCATCAACAGAGTTTGCTTTGCAAGCTGCTAACTATAGTGATGTGACATGGAAAATATTCTAACCCGTGATCAGGAGAGCGTTGAGTTTGAATTGCATCTCATATTCTGTGCAATTCAAGGAACCTCTGTTCCATGTCCTTGGATGGATTCTTGTAGTCATGTCATTTGGACTGCCAGAGTAGGTTAGAATATTTAAAATATTGTTTTGATAAAGGGGGACTGGAACAAAAGAACACTAAAGTACAAAAAGAGTAGCAAAACTTTGTTGATGACATAACACTTGGATCACATCTCCACAAGACCATATCGGACCTTTCAACAAAAAAGTTTTGCCTCTTCCTCAATAACCTAAAATCACAAGAAATTTTACTAGAAATTTTTGTTGATGACACAACATTTGGAGAAAAAGGAATGCTAAAGTACAAGGCAATAATTGAACAAAAAACTTTTGTTTGACATGAACACATTTGTCCTTAATACTTCATCAAATCTTTCTATATCTTAAAAGCCTTTATTTTCTGATTTCAAATACTCTATTAAGCAACATGTGTCATTATGCTCAAGATGTTTCATTTGGACTTACAGATAGCAACGTTTAGCTGGGAACATACTTACACTGTAACATTTTTACATTTGTGAGAAGTCTATGAATTATTTTCCTTGGGCTAATTAGGGCTGTACGAATTGTGTTTGGTTTAAAATGTACACAAATGTTATGCAACAACCAAATGTAATAATTTGGACCCGGGTGCCGGTTGTTGATGATGACAAACATGGGTACTCCTTTTCCTAAGCACATGTTTGTTTAGTCCATTATTAGACATGTTTCCTACTTTTCTTTATGGGTTTCAGTTCTGCTATTATTATTATTGAGTGAAACATGATCTATAATCTGTTGTATATTCATAAATTAAGTCCTCTAACCATTACATCAAAACTCCAGAGTTATGGCGAGGGTGAGGATTATATTTTTATATTCTAAAATGCCTTCGCAGGTTGCATGCCTTTTTAATGGGCTTGAAACTTGGACTCACGTAGCGGTTTCCTTTTTTAGAAAATTCGCTAAATACGTGGCCTAAACTATGGTGAAGGTTGAGAATTATATTTTTATATTCTAAAATGCCTCTACAGGTTGAGCGCCCTTTTAATGGGCCCAAAACCTGGACTCACGTAGTGGTGTCAATTTTTAGAAAATCTTCTTTAAATTCGTGGCTGGTGGGATTTGAACATGGGTTGCTCTGATACCATATAGAGAAATAGAAACCAAGATATATTTTTTATGGAGGACTCACCTCTTTATATAGAGGAAAGGAAACTTGGGCTACAAGGAGACTTGCGGTAAAATTAAACTTGGAGTACAAGATAAAGTAAATTGGTAAACAACAAATAAACTACTCAACTATGCTAATAGATATATTAGGTTTATAGTTTTGAGTATTCGGCCAGATTATATTTGTTCACTTTGCAAGTCGACACTTTTTTGTTTAAGTAGAACGTATAGTACTTTATTAGTAGTATGTGCATCCCACATTTTTGAGAAATATATTGTCTTGTTTCAAAAGATGGATTACATGAATTCCTGTGTTGACTGAATACATTCATTGTTCAAGACCGTGCTGCAGTGTTCCACTGCCTGATCTTTTTGGACTTCACAGAAGAAATGACAGTATGCTTTAAATTCAAGGTCGCTTGGCCATTCTGAATTATTTTCAATGCTCATTGAGTAGGATTAGTTCTCTTGTGCAAACAGAGAACCTGCAGTTGAACACTGGAAAGTCATAAGTGAGCAAAAGACTGAGCTTCTGAAACCCACTGAAGAAAAGTACCGCCCAGTTGTATTCTAACAGTTGTTTCCTGTTAGACATAGTGGGATCTTTCTGTAGATCAGTTGAGTTTAATTGATTAGCATTTTGATCCTTAGGTTTGTAACTGTTCACCGCTCTGCCTCGACTTTTCTCACCTTGGCATGGTAACTTTGCTTTTTGATAAGGTAAGTGATCATGAAACTGTGCAGTGTTTGATTTAGATGTTATTCTTTATAGACAACGTGGTTTGGGCGATTTTATTTAGATAAAGAAAGCTTGTACCTTAAAGTTGCGGAGAAAAAGATATAGCTCACTTTAACGTGTTTGATGAACTTTGTATTTTTTTTACCATCCACATTTAATGATAGTACTCACAATTGATGATGACCAAGAACACAAATTTTTGTCTTGAATATGTGAATAAAAATCCATATCACGACTCATGAGTTTCCATCATTTAGTTTCTCAGATTCCTGCAAATTCCTGTAAATTTTGCTTTTTGCTTCGCTTGAGTTAGATTGTCGCAATTAGCAATCATGAAGTTAGGCAACACAAAGATACAGTAAATAGTATGTTAAATATCTGAATGCTGTTGTAGTTAGCTTACACCTGCAGACTCCTTTGTACTGTCTATAAATCTTTTCTAATTGTAAATGGTATGTCATACTGTGGAAGTTCATATTAGTTAATAGATAAGGTAACATATAATTCCTTGATAATTATTAGTTATTTGGGGTGTCAAATTCCATTTATCATATAATGAACTTATTTGTGGCAGATAGACCTACTTGATATTCTCAGAAAATCCAAGTACTGGCAGCGTTCGGGAGGACGCGATCATGTAATTCCTATGCACCACCCAAATGCCTTCAGATTTCTCAGAGATCAGGTGAATGCATCTATACTTGTGGTTGTGGATTTTGGACGATACCCCAAAAATTTGTCTTCCCTGAGTAAAGATGTGGTAACTCCCTATGTTCATGTGGTCAGTACCTATACCGATGATAATATTCCTGACCCTTTTGAATCGCGGCCCACACTTCTCTTCTTTCGGGGAAGAACTATAAGAAAAGATGTAAGTTTTCATCCTTATGTTGCGCTATATTTTTTCTGATAGACAGTTTCTTTACAACACAAGTGAACTCTGCATCTTCTTACTTATTTCAGGAAGGAATTGTTCGTAAAAGACTGGCCAAGATATTAAAAGGCTATGATGATGTCCGTTTTGAGGATAGCTTTGCTAACACTGATGGCATAAAAGCAGTGAGTTTTTATTCCCTTTTCACTTTTGCTTTCTGCACACAAATGTTGCTGTCTTTGACTGAGTGGATAGCCCTCAATAGAGCTAAATTGGAAAATTAGGGTGGAAATTCACTTTGGAAACATGGCAATCAAATCGTTAGGACTTTGTTATTTTTAATTTTGACGGTGTTGGCGTCATGACAAATCAGAATTATAGAAAATAACATTCACATATTTCTGAAGTGGTAATGCCGAAAGAAGAAGTTCCTAATTTGGACTTGTACTGGCTTGAAATTAGGGTCTTTAGTTTCGACTGGCACATCGTGTTATCTATATATCTTGTGCACTGAGGTTGTTGGTTTCACTATGGTCTTCATATACATGCCTAAAAGAAGCCTTGTTTGAACATGAAATTAAGATGTCTATTTGAACTTCCAGCTCTTGTACAGCTGTACCAATACTTCTTACAGATTTGGATTTTTTTTGAACTGGTTCTTAATGTTATTTATGAAACTGATGTGTCTGGTTTGACTATATACTCTGCATGTCATCTCTGTCTTCACATCTTATGCTAAACATGTGATCTGTTTCATTTTGAGCCTTTTCCTGGCTTTCAATCTTGGTCAAGTAGTCGTTCTCATTATCTATGAATTTTTAAGTTAGCTTATACGAGGAAGATTTTAGATTAACTTCTTGTTCCATCTATGTTCCACTCTAATCTTAATTCTTTCGATGTTGAAAAGCCTAATATGAGGTGTGGTGTGTCTTTATTACTCCATACAATGAACGATCTTCTAGTAAATACTTCAAAATTTGTAAGAGCCATATAGACCGACAATTGATTCTGTTCTCATGCAATATAGTTACTGATGAGTACATATCTTACCTTCCGCTGAGGCCATTTGCTTTTTTCTACTCAAATTAACTATAAACCTCCGAGAATCAAAATTTTAAGCTATGTGCATATTAGATATGCTGAAATATAATTTTATCGTAGTGAATACATTATGACCAAAATACAAAATTTATCTGAAATGGCCCTTATGCCACATGGAGAACTCAACAAGTGCATGCTTTTTTAATTGTAAATCTATTTAAAAAAAATGAAAACATGAAGTGCTTTCCTGGATTAATGCCTGCACCTCTTTTCCGTGACAATCTGAACTGCTTTTATTATCTCCATTCAGTGGTCACAAATTGGATGATGTTTCGATGCAAGTTGAGTTGCTTGTGTATGTATCCATTCACAAGCTAAATGATTCATCTTAATGTTCTATATCTTCATGTTCTTTCCAAATTGGGTGAGTTTAGATCTCCTAGATCATTATTAATCATTTTGTCTTAGACAAGGAATCCAAAATTGTCAGTTCTTGTTTGTGTATCCATTGTGCATGTATTTGATTGTAACAGACCTCTCTGAGCTGAGACTCCTTCTTGCCTTGTCGTGTAGCATTTTAGTATTTGGGGATTGCATAATCTCTCCCATGTGCACCTTCAGTAGCATTTAGCTCATTTCGTTTATAAGCACACTTATCACCCTCAATTCAGGGAAAAGGAGGTTATGTGCAATTTATCTTTCTAAAAATGCCAACATTAGGAATGATAAGTGCTAATAAACGAGCGGAGGGATAATATGTGCTCTGAAGGATTGATGACGTGAGTTATTTGCAATTTATCTTTAATATATCGAGGCATTTGTTTTATCTGGACAAAAGAATTCTATAGAGGTCTTTAGAAAATTCATATAGACCTATTAGCGAGCATGAACATTTCTCAGTACACATTTTGAAGTAGGTGACTGCACTCATAATATTTGATCTACCGATATTTTAACTGTTTATACTATCAAGTACTGAATGCACCAACAACGATATTAATTATATTTTGATTTAAAATTGATGCTGAGAAGCATGTCATCTGATGTTATATTTGCTTCTATGTTATCGCCAGTCGACGGAAGGCATGCGCTCATCAAAGTTCTGCCTCCATCCAGCGGGCGACACCCCATCCTCATGTCGTCTTTTCGACGCCATCGTCAGCCACTGCGTCCCAGTCATCGTCAGCGACCACATCGAGCTGCCCTTTGAATCAGAGCTCGACTACTCCCAATTCTCCCTTTTCTTTTCCATTCAAGAAGCTCTTGAACCGAACTTCTTAGTTTCCAAGCTCCGAGAAGTAACGAAAGAAAGCTGGATTGAAATGTGGACAAAATTAAAGAATGTATCACATAATTTTGAGTTTCAGTATCCACCAAAGGCTGGCGATGGAGTGAATATGTTGTGGAGGCAGGTGAAGTATAAGGCTCCTTATGCTAGGCTTGCGGCTCACCGGAATCGGAGGTTGAAGATTCCGGATTGGTGGAGTCGACGAAGACGGTGATGGTTTTAGCTGTGTTTGTACATTGAGGAGGATTTTTCTGAAGGTAAATTGCACATAATCTCTCTTGTCAATACTTCTAGTAGTCTTTATCACCCCTCAATTCTTGAGGAAGGGGATTATCTACAGTTTATTCTTCTCAAATACCAATCACACTGACAATTGTTAATAGATGACTTGAGAGGTGATAAATGATTCTAATAATATAGAAGAGGAATTGTTTGTAATTTACCCTTTTCTAAACTTGGATTAGTTCTGATTGATTGCTGTATATTGTCATTCTTTGAATATCACAGAATATACTTTTTCAGGAAATTAAAACAAGGGCATCCTTTGACATTAGAGTGAATGTAAATTACCAGCATATGCATAGTGTATTGGGATTTCCTTTTCTAAAATTAGCATTTTCCTTCTTTTAAAGGGTTTGTTCCCTTTGTCAGATTGTGGTCTTTGTTGACAAAGTACAGTTTTTCTTTTTGGATGAATAAATTGCTGACAGGTTTTCCCTTTTGACATCCATCTATTTGCAAGTAAGAATATGATGAGGAGCTGTTTGGTTATTTTCTAAAATAGTTCGAAACCATTTCACGGCTCAGAAATGCATTCCCTTGAGTTTCCAAGTGTTTTCTAGAAAATGGTATTATTTGTTTGTTTCACCCTTAAAATATGGCAAGAAATTGTTTGTTATAGGATCTACTGTTTGATTGGTAACCCCCCCCCCCAAAAAAAAAGGAAAAAGAAAGTGAAGAAAGTCAAACAATAGCTCTCTGTCCAATTTTTTATTCCCCAAATAGTACATTTTCACCCGTTTTTAGCTCCGAATTGAGTTTCCTCAAAATTATAATGAATGATGATGTATCAAGGAGCCCAAACATCCCTTTCCAAGCTCAGTCAAACTAAATATAATAGGAAAGCTTTCGGAGAGATCCGAGTACTTTCTTAGGGGTGTTGCTATAGGGACCCAAAATAGGGGACCCCTGAGGTGCATCAAGCCTCCAGGGGCTGACACCTCACCTGTCCCCTGATGCACTGTTCATGAACAGTGCATCAAGCCTCCAGGGGCTGACACCTCAGCTGTCTCCTCAGGGGTCCATGAGGAGTTTTCTTTTGGAAAATGATAGTGACACACCCTCAACCACATCCCAAACCACATCGCCTCTCATATGTTACAGTGTATCGGGCCCCACATGAGATTTTTAAAATTTTAAAATCCCATGTGAGACCCGATGCAATGTAGCATATGAGAGAGGGGGTGTGATTTGAAATGTGATTGGATGTGTGCCCGCTAGATGCCGATAGCTTGTCCTTTTTCTTAGTTTGCTCAGAAAGAGGTTTTCCGTGTTTTGTCGCGCCCTATACAGGTGGCAGACCAACAGAATGAAAGCTAGCGTGAACACCTGTAATCTGTCTCATGTAGCAAACGTCAAAGAAGAACGAAAATTGGATGAGACGTTCAGAGAACCAAGTCAGTTTTCTATCATATATTAAGATAATAATATCTTAAATATCTAAATCTTTACTCATACTTTCCAAGAGACAGGAATTCAATATCTAATCCAAGACTTTCACGACAATCGCTTAATTTATTGAGCTTATGCATGACTTGCCAGGAAAACTACTGTAACATATGCGTCTCCAATCGGATGAAAGTTAATAAAAACAAGGACAAAATTTTAAAATTAACCTGTTTAGAAACTTATTTGTAAAAAAACGACCTACTTCGAAAATATTTGTCAAATTCGACTCAGTTTCAGCCAATTGGCGGAAACTGGATCGAATTTGGCGAAAAAACATCAAATCCCGTGAAGTTTAAATCCCGATTACGTTGCTAATTAAGTTAGTAACGAGGGTTTAAACTTCACGGGACTTGAAGTCACGTGAATTTTTGAATGTTTTTCGCCAAATTCGATCCAGTTTTAGCCAGTTGGTTACAACTGGGTCGAATTTGACAAATATTTTTGAAATAGATTGTTTTTTACAAATAAGTTTCTAAAGAGGTTTGAAATGAAAATTTGTCCTAAAAACAAACCGTATCCGGCCACCAAATTCCACCGCCAAAAAAAGAAATCTCTAAGGGGCTGTTTGGTTGATGTATTTGACATTAGGGGTTAGGCAGAAAGCCTGCCAAAAAAACACTTTTGACAGGCTTTCTGTCCAAAACGCCTCTTTTGGCAGAAAACCTGTCAAAAGTGCTCTTTTGGCAGGCTTTCTGCCCAACCCCTAATGCCAAATACATCAACCAAACAGCCCCTAACAAAAGTTCAATCCTCAGAATCATAGGCATGTACATGCAAAATCCCTACGGGACACCCCTCCAATGTTTCTTCAATAGAAAATTTGACAGGCCCTTCAGCGAAAATATCTTGTCTTAGAAAACGTGCAGAAAAACAGTGAGCGCGACGGAGCAGTAAAAAAATAAAAATAAAATAAAAATAAAAATATTTTTTTTGCGCAAAAGAGTGCTTCCCTCGTCGTTTCAGCTTCCCGAAGAAGATTTCAATACAAGCCGGCCAAAAACAACACCCATCATCATCATGCGCCAAACCCTCATCCCCAAACCCTAGCCCTAACCCTAAAATCTCCCCTCTTCCCCCCAGAACCCTAGCATCGACGGTGAGAGCCCCCGGTCGAAGGCCAGGACAAGGTGATCGCCACCGCGCAGCAGATCGTCAAGAGCCTCGCCGCCGACAAAACCGCCGCCGAGGACATGCTCCGTATCCTCTCCAACTTCGACCACCGCTTCTCCTCCATCAACGTCGCCGGCGACGGAGATGATCGCGATGGCGACGAAGTCCGCATCGAGATCGAGGCGAAGCTCGACGAGGCGGACAAGGTAATCTCTCTCTGGGACTCTTCCAAATCTCTCCTCTTTGAATCCTCGCGGGAAGAGATTGGTGAGTATCTCGTTACTGTCGATGACCTAATCTCTGTCGCTAGTCAAGATGAATTAGAACTGTATGGAGATATTCGAGAGAAAGTTGAGATCTTGATCCAGATGTCGATGTCTAGGCTCGAGGATGAGTTCCGCCACCTCATGATTCGAAACACCTTTCTTCTCGACTCTGCTGGCCTTCACTGCTCCATCCGTAGGCATTCCGTCGATGAAAGCCTAGACGAAGAATTGGACACCTCGAATGAGACCGAATCCTCTGTGGATAATTCCAGCCATCATCATCATAAGGAAAGCTTGAATTTTGAGGAGTACAGGAATAGTGAACTCATTCGTCCTGAGGCGGTATCGGATTTGAAAGAGATTGCGGATAGAATGATTCGTTGTGAGTATCAGACAGAGCTTTGTCAAGTTTATAGCGGTGTGAGGAGAGAGATATTGGATGAGAGTCTCTCTAGTCTTGGTGTTGATAGGATGAGTATCGATGAGGTTCAGAAAATTGAGTGGAAGTTACTTGATGATAAGATGAGGAAATGGGTGAAAACCTTGAAAGTAGTGGTTATGGTTTTGTTTTCGGGGGAGCATCATCTCTGTGAACAAATCTTGTCTCTATCCAATGAGCTTAGAGAAGAGTGCTTTGTTGAGAGTACTAAGGGGTGTTTGATGCAGCTTTTGAATTTTGGAGATGCTGTCGCAATCCAAAGGCGGTCGCCAGAGAAGTTGTTTCGGATTCTTGACATGTATGAAGCTTTATCACAAATGAAACCCAAATTGGACGAATTGTTTGGGGGTGATTCTGGAAATTATATCATCAAGGAGGCTGAACGGATATTGGAGTGGTTGGGCGAGGCTGCGAAGGGAACATTTACTGAATTTGTGAATCGAGTTCAGAAGGAGTCATCGAAAAAGCCAGTGTTAGGCGGAGAAATCCACCCCCTGACTCGGTATGTGATGAATTATATGACATTGTTGGTGGCTTACAGCAGCTCGCTTGAATCCCTTCTTGATGATGACGGAGTCGTTGGGGAGGTTATTGATCGTGGTGAGAATAAGACCCGATTGGGCCACCAACTGGGATTGTTGATCTCGTATCTGGAGTCTAATCTTGAAGAGAAGGCCGAACTTTATGATGATGCTGCATTGCGATTAATTTTCCTAATGAATAATCGGCTTTATGTGGTCCAGAAGGTTAAGGGTTCAGAACTTGGGAAGATCTTGGGAGAAAATTGGGTCAAAAAGCATCGTGGACAAATTCGCCAGTACCATAATAGCTACCTCAGAGCTTCTTTGACAAAGCCGTTGTCATTTTTGAAGGATAATGGATTGGGTGGGAGTGGTAGTGCT